TTATGGATTAGTTTAGACAAAGACCTCTTGCTATCTCTGTCTGTCTGTCTGTCTTTCTCTCTCTCTGGGGCACTGTAGATTAGATGTTTGCCACAAGTCTGGAATAACTTCCAGTCTTTACAATTGAGGGAGTACTACCTGAGTGAGATTACTATTGATATGGTCCAGGAGAAACCATGGCTTGGAACTGATTTGTTTTTGTGACTCTAATCTGTACAGTTGATAGCAGCAGTTTGGAAAATCATAAAATCCAAAATGAAAGATTCTGCACAATAACTGGGACAGTTTTATAAAACATGAGATGAAAAACTGCTGCCTAATTGAGAAACATAATCTGCAAACTTTTTGCCAACAGTTCACTGGGAATTTGTAACTTCAGCTTTGGTCTCTGTTCCTGAAATAAGTCTCTTTTAGCTTCTAATGCATATATTTTGTTTAAAAAAATACATTCTGCTCATTTAAGAAAATACATTTTTTAGATTTATTTGTCTAAGATATCCAATGCTACACAGATCATTCATTATATCAAATATGTTAAAGAGAAATTGATGCTTTGATTAAAACTATATCTTATTGTGTAAATCTACTTGACAGGTTGTTTACAGGTATTGTCCTACAACGTGACTGCATTGTTAAGGGATTTAATCACATGATACAGTACATTTCCTAGCTTCCACTATTTGATCTGAGGAAGTGGGTCTGGCCCACGAAAGCTCATCATCTAATAAACCATCTTGTTAGTCTTTAAAGTGCTACATTGTCCTGCATTTTACATTTCCTAGGGTAACTTGGTGACATGCTGCAGTATGTTTGCAGTAGTAGTAAATTGAAAGGATTATAACTCAGGCTAGGTGTGGTCACAAATTGTTTTGTTACAATATTTTGTGTTTGGACACAAGTCTTTTATAGGTTTACTCTGCTACAAAATTTCTTTTTCTTCTAAAGCTAGTATCTGAGTACAGCTGAGCTCCTATATGGTGCTCCTATAAACTGGGTTATCACATTTTTAAAAACAAACTACTTACCTTATAGATTGTTGCTTGTTTTAGCAAATGCTTTGTTTCTATAGTTCTCAGTTTGAAACTGCTGGGGGGAAAATAGCTAACTGAAACAGAAAAAAATATTTTAAGCAATTAAGCACAGAGAAAATTATTTTGGGGTTTGTCTACACTGCTATTTACTGTTTTGTAACTTTCTCAGGAGTGTGAAAAAACACCTCTTCTCCTAGCAAGTTACAGCACTGTAAAGCAGTAGTGTAAACAGGCTCCCATTGCTGAGAGCTACTTCTCTTGTAGAGGAGGCTTACCTACATACACCACTGGGACAGCTCTCTCCCAGTGCTGGTGCCATTACCACACTGCCCTGTTAAAGCACTGCCATGACTGCGCTTTAGACTTAGAAGTACAAACAAAATCTTTTAAAAATGACTTGCACCTACAATGTGGAAGATAAACTGGGGCTCCTAATGCAAATGAAAGGCAAAATTAGTCTGCATTTTATGTTACAATTTGTTGCTGGTAAACTTCAATAACTCAGTTCTTACAGAATAATGGCTTCCTGTCATTTGTTGGCAGCTATGCTCCAGTCTGGGCCATTCAGGGGAGTAACAGAATTGCTGGGCCCATGGATAAGGTAGGTAGGGCCCAGTTCCATACTCCTGGAAGGCGCAGTTCCTCAGGTAGAAGGGACAGGGCTGGGGGAAGCTAACCCAGAGCTGCAACCTGGATCAGCCCAGAGCGCGATGTATATCGCACCTTGTGGTGCTCCAGCAGCAACTTATAGAGCCTGGGGCTCCATCTGCTGCTGCAATAGCAGTGGCAGTGGCTGGGAGCACCAAGCCCTTTTGAAATACCAGGCCCCAGAGCAAATGCCCCCTTTATCCTCCCTCCCTCCCCTGTTTGGCAGGCCTGGGGCTGTTCGTGGGAAATCACTGTAGTGTGGGTTCAGCTCAACTGCACCTGGTATAAAAATGAGCTCCCTTTTTGGTGCATGTACAAAACATAAATTCAGTTGATCACATAATTAGCCTTTTTATCAACTTGTGATAGCATGAGTCAAGGATTAGAAAACATTAATTACAGTGATGGAACTCAGGCTGTTTAGCTTAGCTAAGAAAATGTTAAAGGGTGACTTGATTAGCGTAATGATTGATTAGCGTATTTGCCAGGGATTGGGAATCAATTGTTGTTAATGGGCTTTACACTGTAACAGAGTGGGTTCTCAAAGTGTGGTCAGTGACCGTCTTGCAGGTGTGCCATGGGCTTGGGACTTGCCCCCCTCCAGCAGCATGGAGCCTGCGCTGGCACACCAGCCCTTACCTCTGCACCCCTTTCCCCCCCTCCCCTGTGAAGTTGAAGTGCCAGTGTCAGCTTAGCATTGGGGGGTAGAGGGTGAGCCTCACTGGCAAGATCTGCCTAGCTGGGGAAGGAAATAGCTCCGCTCACTGCTGCTTACCCTCTTCCCCACCCCCACCCCCCACCCCCACTGGGGAAATGGCAGAGCAGGAAACAGTTTACCCTGGAGGCTTTGCATGCTGCCTGGAGGCTCCTAGCTTGTTCCTGCACTCTCCCTCCTAGCCAGACCCCAAACACACACCCTCGCCCCCTTCTGCACCAGTTTTGTCATCATGGGTAGTTGGCTGGTGGTTCATGGACAGGTCTGTGTTGAGTGAGGTGAGCCGTGTGCCAAAATGTTTGAGAACCACTGATATAACATGATCTCATTGACTTAAAGTTGATGTTACATTCAGACTGGAAAGAAGTGAAACTTTTTCAATGGTGAGAATAATTAAGTAATTATTGCTGGAACATGCGTCATAGACTCTCAATCACCAATGATTTTTTTCCCCCAAAAGATTATGCTCTTAAGAAATATATTAGGGAAGATGTATGGCCTGTCTTGTGCAGGAGGCCAGACTATATGATCATAACGGTACCTTCTGGTCTTAGATTTTCAGTATCTATGATCTATATAGCGGGCTTACTAGAACTTGATTTTTGTGGGTTTTTTATAGTTTTAATAATATTAAATAGTTTTAAACATTTAAAAATATTGACTTAAATTTTCACTGTTGCAGGAAAGGCTTGGGAGGTCATGCAGACAATTGAGAGTGTTAGACAATGTTTAATGACAGACATTGAAATTCAAAAAAAATAATTTCTTTCAACAATTAAAAAACTTTGCCATTATGACAGGAACATAAAAATGGTCATACTGGATCAGATCAGTGGTTCATCTGGCCCAGTATCACGTGTTCTGGCAATGACTGTTGATGTTTCAGAAGAAGTAACAGAACATGGCAGTTTTCAGTGATCTATATCGCCTTGGGTTGTTTTTTGTACTCTTGGCTTTTATGTCCTTAGCTAATTGCTATTCAGATTCTTTCTTGTCCTGCATTAGTATACTTTTACACTGACTTGCCAGAATTTATGCTTCTTTCTGTTTTCCTAAATAGGTTTTGACTACTTCTTAAAGAACACCTTTTTTGTTGTTTTTGTTTGCCTCTAACCATATCTTTTATTCTGTTGGTGAAGATGGGTTTTTTGTTGTTTGTTTTGGGATTTACATTTAGTTTAGTCTCTATTATGATGTTTTAAAATAATCTCCATACAGTTTGCAGGCTTTTCATCTTTGCAACTGTTCCTTTTATTGTCTAACTCATTTTTGTGTAGTTCCTCTTTTGAAGTTAAATGCTACTTTGGAGGATATAGTGGGTTTTTTTTCTTTGTTTGTTTTTTTGCCATTTTACCCTCTTCAAAGGTGTTACGTTTATTATGTTATAATGGCTATTATTGAATGGTTCAGGTATGCTGCCCTTCTTGTTCAAGATCTTGCATTCCGCTTAGGACTTAATCAAGAATTGCCTCTTCTGGATTCCTGAGCAAGCTACTCTTTTTGTGGTGTGGTACAGAGAGACAAGACCACATATAATTTAGTATCAAAACTGTTGTGTGTGGTCATGTTTTGTTTTACATGTGCTACATAAATTCTGCAGACTGCTTTCATTTTGTATACAGTGTAATTTCATTGTGTGAAGACCTGAAAACAGCATTCTCTAATAATTTTAAAGAGCCAATGTTTTGAGATTTTCCCTCCTTTTTTCTATTTTTGTACAAAAATATTTTTTTCTGTTCTAATGTTTTTAAAAACATGTAATGGTGACAGAGGAGAGAAACCAAGAAAAATATGTAGTCTTACCTTCACTTGATGTCACGTATCTAGAACATATTTCTTTTCATAGGAGTGTAGGATTAGAAGGGACTTCAGTAGGATTTGCAAAAATATGCAAAACATGCATATATAATATACTATAAAGCAAGGTAATAAACCAATGTATAAAATTTGGCTGATAAGAAATTGCTGTGAAGATGTCATTAAATCTGTGAGAGAAGAGTGGTCTTTTAATTGCAAACAGAATCCTCAGTCATGGTCATGTACTATACATGATGGAATGAAAGTAATGCACAACAGGCAGGCTCCTGCTTTTAAATAAAATATATATTACTTCTCTCTAACCCATAACAAATCAGGATTTTCTTGAAATTCTGAAGATTTTTTTCCACACACAGTTGCACCATATTTTTAATTTATAATTGTCGCTTTTTTTTTTTTTGTCTCTTGCCCTTTTACTTTCATATATCTAGATTATTATGTTATAATATTAGTATTCATTTTTGGCTCCCCAGTACCTTTTCCCCTTCAGTTGTATACAGGAAAAAAAGGGTACCAAAGTAAATTAAAGTACTTCTACACACAAGGATGAATGGATTTTGAAGAGGCCAAGACTACATTATTTTAAGTTTAATATGACTGAATCTGTATTCTTAAAGAAACAATTACTTGGGAAGAAGTAAATAATAGTGATAAAAAGTTGGAAATGGGTAACCCCGCTTCAGTGAGCAGGAGCTGTTACTTTGACAAATTTATTGCATTTTTGCATTTCTTATATGTACATTTATAGAAAATGTTTGTTCATTAAACATTTGTTCTTTAATTTTCAGGCACAGGTACTTTTGGGCGGGTTCATCTGGTGAAAGAAAAAATGGCCAAACGTTACTTTGCCCTGAAAGTAATGAGCATTCCGGATGTCATTCGGCTAAAACAAGAACAACATGTACATAATGAGAAGTCAGTCCTGAAAGAGGTCAATCACCCATTTCTGATCAGATTGTAAGTTTTCTTTCATTATTCAGTTTTTCCTGTTTTATTTTTTATACCAGATACAGTAAAACTTGGATGGTCCGGCATCTGATGGTCCAGCACTCCTGATGGTCCGGCACCATCAGGAACCCGGAAGTGCTCCAGGCAGCTGACCATTGGAGCTGCTTTGCCCCCAGCTTCCCCGATTGAGCTGCTGCTAAAACTGACCAGCGGCTGAATCGGTAGAGCAGCTGGGGTGCTGCCGGGTTGGTCCCGCAAGCTAAATATAAGTCAACAGTGTGACACTGTTGGGGGGAGAAGCAAACATGATTCTGGGATTCATTAACAGGTGTGTTGTGAGCAAGACACAAGAAGTCATTCTTCCGCTCAACTCTGCACTGATTAGGCCTCAGTTGGAGTATTGTGTCCAGTTCCAGGCATCACATGTCAAGAAAGATGTGAAAAAATTGGATTAGGTCCAGCGAAAAGCAACAAAAATGATTAAAGGTCTAGAAAACATGACCTGTGAGGGAAAGCTAAAAGAAATGGGCTTTTTTAAATTTAGAAAAGAGAAGACTGAGAGGGGCCATGATAGTGGTTTTCAAATATCTAAAAGGGTGTTACAAGGAGGATGGAGGAAAAAATGGTTCTCCTTAGCCTCTGAGGATAGGACAAGAAGCAATGGGCTTAAATTGCAGCAAAGGAGGTTTAGGTTGGACGTTAGGAAAAACTTCCTAACTGTCAGGGTGTTTAAGCACTGAAATAAATTGCTTAGGAAGGTTGTGGAATCTCCTTCACTGGAGATATTTAAGTGCAGGTTAGACAGACACATGTCAGAGATGAGCTAAACAGTTCTTGGTCATGCTGTGAGGGCAGGGAACTGAACTCGATGACCTTTTGAGATCTCTTCTAGTTCTATGATTCTATAATAAACTGCCAAGAGAGAGTATAAAAAAGACAGTTATAGAACCTTCCTAGGCAATTTATGCTTCAATGCTAACTACCATGTAAAATTTTAAATTGCTTTAAAATATGAAGCTTACAAGCATTTCTCATCATATGGTATTTCCTTATCTTTGTGAAGTGTGTCTACCTTCTCGAGCATGTCAGCCGGGTTCACCCTTTAAATCTCACTACAATTTATACCCCTGTATTGTTGATTGCCACAAAATGTAAACAAGCCCTAAATGGACTTGTGGAAAATTCCTCAGAACAGAAGAAATGTACATTGCTGACTTTAACCTTTACTGTGGGCAAAGCACATGTGGGAGACTAATGTACCACCTTTCACAGTATAATGATTCTCACTGGCTTTTTTTTTAAACATTGATTTATGGACCTCAAACCCTCCAGAAATCTTGCAAATACACAGTGTATGAATGATGGATTTCTGTTTTTGTAATCACATGTGTAGCCCTGCTGCTCCCAATGAATACATATGAATGAAGCTGAAGTCATCATTAATCTATATTTGTTTGCCATCTGTATCTGCCTTTTTCTGAAATAATAGTAGACTTCAGATTTGCTGTATTAATTCCACCCACTTCCAATCAAAATAGAACACTTCTTGGTTTCTTTTGATATAAATTTGTATGTATATGGAAATCTATTCTTCAATGGAACATGAAAACAAGGCAGTGAATATAAATCAGGTGCAGGGCAGACTGGAATTCCTTGAACTCATAAACAGACCCAAAATTCAGTTGTCCTGAAACCGGGTCTGGGCTTTACTTTAAATTGTGCTCTTTGACCTCAAATATCTAATGCTTTTAAATATTCAACCAATCATGAATTAATCATGAATCACTGCAGCTGAAATAAGTCCATTACTTGTATACCAATACTGTTTGCTCTAGAGAAATATTCAAATGGGGGAAAAAATTATTCATTAAACTGTTAAGGCTTGCTCCTTAGCATGATGCCAGAACATTTTGCATCAGATGGAAAACCAGCTAATACATCTGGTCTCTGTGGGGTGAAAGCAAACTTGTGCTACTCTTAGCAGGCTAACTATTCTTCTTTTCTGCTTTTAGAGAGATTGGGAGAGTTAATTTTAAAGTAATATTAGAATGCTAATGGTGATGAGATTTTAAGGAGCAGAGGAGGATAGCTGACATTTTATTGAATAATTGAAAACACTATCTGTACATTAAAATGTATCCCTGTCTCTCTCTAATTCCCCCATTCCTTTGTATTTGACTGGTCTTAAAGTGTACATTCTATGGTGTGGGGACAGCAACTTTTGTATGTTGTTTTTGCTGGAATTCTGCCCCATTTTGCAATGCAGATTGTTCCCTGCAGAATTTTACTTTTTCACACAATTCATGGTTTATTTATTGATTTCATTTTCCCTGCAGCACTCCCACTCACTCCTATCTCATAGTCAGCCCTGGGCAGTGATATGAAATGATTAGGAAATGATTGTTTTATACTATTGTGACAGCTAGGCAGTTGATATTCCAATACAGAATTTCTTAACAGGACCACAGATTGGATACCAGTTTGGTATTTGGTCTGCTTACCTGGGGGGTATCTTAATTTTCTAGCAGATGCTAGATAATAATCTTGTGTTCAGTTCAAATGGCTAATGCCATGAAGCCATGTTTGAGGAGTGTACCCCCATTGTGTTAAGCATGCTTATGTAATGTGTGCAAGACACACAAATCTGCATGCACTCTCTGTCTCTGTCTCTTGGCCTTTGCTATTAACTGTTGACTTGTACTTAATAGTACCTATTGTATTTTGATCATCTTTCTCTCACTCGCTTGCTCCCTTCTGACTTAAATGAGCAAGAATGTATTTCCTTATGTTTCATAGCTTGTTTTTGATTGCCTGGTTACTGGCTGTAGTAGCGGTACTACTGGTAAAGTGCTATTTCTCATTTGGAAAGGTAAAAATAATCTGTAGCATGGGGGGTATTTATTATCTTAATATCTGTAGGCGGGACTGTACCCTGGTGTGAAGAGGTGAATAAACAAGTAAAACCAGCTTCACCAGAAACAGGTCTGACAGACAAACACATATTTTTGGAAAGCTGTTGTAGGTGCAGGATGTGGAGGGAGGACAGTGCAGGAGGGTTGGTAGCCTTGACTTGCTAAATGAGGCTACAAATACAAATCTGAAGAACATTTCATAATCATTTCTTTATAGTAATGCTTAGAGGCCCTAGTCAAGACTGAAGGTTTTGTTAAAATTAGTCTTTTTGTTGTCAATGGTTGCAAAACAAAATTATGGATGTTGTCAAGTCAGGAAGGTCTTAGGGTTAAGTAATGGACTGGGTGGAAAAAGGTGGAAGTTCTCTTTCTGGCTATGCCACAAACTTCTGGCAAGCTTCTACACCTCTCTGTTTCTCTCTTCTTAAAATGAGGACAATAATCCTTCACTAGCTCACATTTCTGTTTGTAAAAAAAAAAAACTTTTGGGAACTTTGAATGGAAAATACTATAGAAGTGTAAGGTGAGATATGACTCCTCTTATAAAGCCAGGACTTAATGGGGAAAAGAACAGTTTGTCTATGTATTTTTTCCAAATTTAGACACCTTGTCACAAGCAGTTTGCCAAATTTAGATCACTCTTAATTTTTCATTTGGGATGCATTTGTTGAACACTATTTAGGAACACCGGAATTGTCCTAATAAATAAAGAACAGTGGTTCGTTGTGTCTGTAATAGTGGCCAGTTTCAGAAGCTTCAAACAAATGTGCAAGAAACCCTATGACAGAGCTTACAAACAGAAGTTTTCTTTCTATGCTTGGCTAGTTAGTTGTTGGAAAGTTCTAAGGGAGGGGTGAGTGTGAGGTGTCTCCCCCTCTTCCCATCTTCCCACCTAATTTAACTTAGGAAAATCTTCTCCATATACCAAATGCACCTAAAAAAACTGAGATGTTGGTTTTGGAGATATCTTATGCAATGAAATCCACAAGTTTAATAATACATTTAGTTCAGTATACCTCTTTCTTTGTGGCAATGGAACAATACCAGTTTACAGAATTGTATTTGTTTTACAAATGATTTATTGGCTCAATATTTAATCAAGACTTCTTTTTTTATTGCAGATTTTGGACCTACCATGATGAACGTTTTTTATACATGTTAATGGAGTATGTACCTGGAGGAGAACTTTTTAGTTATCTGCGCAACATGGGTCGTTTCAACAACAGCACGGGACTGTTTTACTCTGCAGAGATTATATGTGCAATAGAATATTTGCACTCCAAAGAAATCGTTTACAGAGACTTAAAACCTGAAAATATATTATTAGATAAAGAAGGGCATATCAAGCTTACAGACTTTGGATTTGCTAAAAAGCTAGTGGATAGGTAAGGCTTTTTAAAAACCACACTTAAAAAATAAAACAATTAAGGTTGGGTGATGTTTACTTTCAGTGCTAAATTTTTCATTCGCCTTGTCTACACTTCACGGTGAATCAGCGCTGCAATGATCGATCCACTGGCCATCAATTGATCTCATCTGCTGTAGATGTGATAGATCTATCTTGGAGAGTGCTGCCATTGACATCGATACTCGTCCAAAATGAGAAGAGTAGCTGGCATCAATGAGAGAACAGCTTCCATCGACTTTACCACCTGTAAGATGCCCCACTAAGTACGTCAACTTCAGCAACACTTTTTGTGTCACTGAAGTCAATTGATGGTGCACATAAGTGTGGACAAGGGTATACGTGGGGTCATTTGAGCAAACCACGTTACATCCTTACTAGTAGGAAAGTATTTTTGAACCAAACTTCTGTCCCGTCAATAGTATTCAGAGAATCACAGTCTAAAATAAATTATGAATGTTTTTTTGCACTTCATATTTCAGTATGTGCACTGCAAAACACCAAGTGACTTGTGAAATGAGTTCTGTTAAAATGTGATATTAACCTTTCAAACTCAGAAGTAAAAGTTTTATTTTTGAGTGTGTTTTATTATTTGGCTTTATTTTCTTTAACCTTGCATTTTGAGGAACTTTTTCGAAGTAGAGAGGTGGGAGTGAATTTCAGTCTGGAGTAAAGAAAATGTGTTAATTCATTAGTATACTGTATTACTGAAATTTGATTATGTAAAATAACCAAAAAACCCTAGACTGAAGGCATAATGACAGTATGGGCCATAAGGCTTTCCAAAGATAGGATTTCACACATAGAGCTGCATACCTTTTATATTTTATATGAAACACATCTATTGTGTTTATCTGGTAGAAAGGGATGTTGGCTTGGTGGTCATGTCATGGTGAAGTCGGAATAGTGTATCATGTATGTCTTGGCCCATCTATAATCAAGAAATTATTAAGATGATATTTGGGAGAAAAGAAGAGGGTTGCTATTAGCCACGTGAGAATGAATTTAAGAAGGAACAACTTAAGCTGAATATTAGAAAAAAATACCTGACAATGGTGACTCTGTTGGTCTGTGGGGTAAGGGAAACTCCATTTAATTGGAATGCTAAAAACTAGACTTTTTAGCATATGTGGGGATTTTACAAAGGGAACCCAAATGGAAATGCTCAGCTGCATCTACTCTAACGTGCTTCTTAAAATCACAGCCACGGAACATGGCAGGCTGAATCATAGTAGTAGGGTCACTTGGTAAACTAGCTTTTGTCTGCACCTTCCCAATCCTGTGCTGGCTAAAGATGATGCTAGTTGGGCAAAGCAAAGCACCAGCCAGTTGTTAAGATTCTTCCAACACTTGTGAAGGCCTGAAATACATTGAGGCCCATGAAATAGGTATTTTATTCTGTCCTAATTCAGTTTGTGGGACAGATATGGAATTTAGTTTTTAAATATGAATGGATGTCATGTATTGAGGTTGTACCATAATAGTAAAGGATCTTGAATATTGGAGGTCAATTTTGTGATAAAGTAACATTAATTTTAATTTCTGAGCACAGCACCACACATCATTGGATTGTCTGGATTTTTTTTTTTTTTACCTTAACAGTATGGAAATGATCACTACTCCTCTGCTTGAATAAATTTAACTTAAACATTGTTTTGAATGGAAGATATTTCTTGTCTTTAATGGCAGTGTTAATAGACAGTTGGTTTGCATAAGTGATTGTGAACCAGAGGTAATTTTTACTTAAGAAATTCATAAAACTCCAGTTCACTGAATTCTATAGACTAACAAGAAATAAAACTATTGCATGTAGTAAAGTTGGTGGGCATCTTTATGAATTGTATTTGGCACGAATTCTGAAGATTTTGTTTTGAAATGTAGATACTGCCACTTAGTGGCTGATATAAATTTGGTTGGTGTTTGGTGGGGTTAAGTATAATGGGTATATCTGAGCTGTAACAGTGCAACATTATGCCAATTTAAAATCCAGAACAAAGGAAAGCGAGTTTATTTGAATATATTCTGCAACACTATCTTGTAATACCCACTCTTGTCTTTTGTACACTGTTTACATGTACTGTAAAGTAAGGTCATAGTCAGGCACCTTACATTAGGTTGGACTTAAGTATGATGGAGTGGTGTTGTCATTTTATAGCTACTCTAACTATAAAAGAGATAAGGAGAGTAATAACAGTTTGCTGTGCAGCAGTAGGGATGACATTTACCAGCTATTGGTGGTAGTTTATCAAGCCCGTGCTGCTAGTTGTTATCTCTTTCTGGTGGTTAAACATTATTCCCTCTTGTGTTTTATTGTGAATTTAAAATTACTACAATGTTTTTTACTGTGTATTGTGCATCTATAAAACATAGAGCTATCATAACACAGTTGATTGCACAGTAGTGGCTATGTACCTATAATGTTCTATGCATTATTATGCATCTGTAAAAAAGAAAACCAGTCCTAATACAATTATTGTAGAGAAATAGCAGCTATAATAATCTATAGTAATTATAAATTTATAGAGCACTTAACCCTAAGGTGGGAGCTGTTCAAAAATATAAATACAACAAATCAAAACCTAAATGCAGAAATCAAAAGTACTCCAAAATTATTTCCCCACTTCCTTAAAAATGGAATTAAATGTTCACATTTTTGCATGTTAAAAATAGTAAAATATCAACTTACTGACATTTACTCCAGGCACGTAAGAGGAAAATTGCATTGCTATTAAAGTATATTAAAGAATGAGCAATTAAAAATAATAGTTCAGTAGGGTATCATTTAACACAAAATGTGACTGATTTCTCAGTCATCTATTCCCTTTTTGTGAGAGTGGTGTGTTTTTTGTTTTGTTGTTTTGTTTTGTTTTGTTTTTTTAAATTATTCCTACCTTTGGCTAAATGAGCTGGCTGCCACAGGTCAAGTAGTGACAAGCCCATGTGCAGCCTGCACAGAGTTCACCATCCTGCCTCGGTCTAGACAGCTGTAGTTGCAGTACTCAAATGAGCAAAAGGGCTGCTGCTGCTTCTGTAAGCCGAGACAGTGGAGAATGTCAACCCAGGCAAACAGGAAGAAGATACGGGCCAGGTTAAACCCTCCCAAATCCTCTCACTGATTGGCTGGTCACAGCGTGTAAGGGAGCAAGCTGCTCTGTTGTGTGATTGTGCAATCTGCACTATCCTTTCCGTACATATAGTTTTATTTTAATTCCTACCTTGTTGAACCCCAGATATGAAATAACTTGTCTACCTAATTTAAGATTAATTGCCTCTTTCTGCTTCAGTTTTGTTTTCAGAGGAAACAGAAGTTATGCAGTCAGTAAATAATTCTGTAAGGCTGGTCACATTTCTCATAATTTGTGTGAGGGAGGGACTTCCCATTTATTAACTTGGTGAATTTTATCATTGATCTCAGCAGATGCAATTGATTTTGTATATGTTATGTTATAAAAACATGTACGTTCCTGAAACATAGAAGAGATGTATTTTATAAATCCAGAAAAATAAAAAAGGTAAAAGTAATTAAGCATGTTAAGGACTAGTTGATTCTTCCTCTCCCCCCATTGCTACCTCTGAGATAGAGGCAGCGAAGAGGGGGTACTTCAAAGCAACAGCACTGCTGCTTTAAAATGCCATGGTGGCGTTTCAAAGGGGCAGTGTCGCACAGCTAACCCCGGGCTCAGCTGTGCAGCACTGCCCCTTTGGAACGCCACCTCAGCATTTCAAAGCAACAGTGCACAGAGATGAACCCGGTCTCCATGTGGCGCTGCCCTTTGAAATGACGCCGTAGCATTTCAAAGGGGCAGCACGACACAGCTGAGCCCGGGCTCTGTGTGACACTGCCCCCTTTGAAATGCTGCCGTGACGTTTCAGAGCAGCAGCGCTGTGTGGAGCCCAAGATTAGCTGGGGACTCAGCTGATCCCAGGTTCCAGCACTGCGTTTCAAAGTGGGAGTCCCCAGTTGACCCCAGGATTTGGGTAAATGCTGTGCAGAGCCCAGGGTCAGCTGGGGAGTCCTCAGCGGGTCCCAGATTCTGGGGAAATGCTGTGCGGAGTTTGAGGTCAGCGTGGCATTTCAAAGCAGCAGCGCAGGATGGAGCCTGGAGTCAGCGGGAGACTCTGCTGGGGACTCTTGTACATTTCCAAGCTGGCACAATGTGTCCAGCCCAGAGTCAGCGGGATTTCCTGCTGGCCCCAGGCTGCATGCGGAGTTCCACATTCCTCCTTTGAAATGTACAAGAGCCCCAGTGGGGGGCTCATAGGCATTTCTGCATTACTCCTTTGAAATGTATATTTACTAGTCGAGAGAAATTCCATCCACTGCTCGACTACTAAATTACTCGATATTTAACATCCTTACAAGCAATACAGAAGAATGCTGCATAAGAAAAATACATTTTTTAATGATACCAGCTCAAGGAAGTGTTAACACACTTACCTCCAAATCTATGTTGGTATTCAGATAATATAAGTAAGTTATTATAAATGTAGCAGTAGAAACAGGTGGCCTGTTGGTAGTAGTGAAACCCAATGATTATGTTTTACCAGGGATACTCTGTTTTCCTAAACTTGTAATTTTCCTTTTGCAAGTGGAGTGCTCTTTTTGTTTCTGAAAAGTCTAACCATAGATAAGTTGTGAAGGTCAGAATCCAAGAAGATTCCAGTTCTCATACATGCTGCATCCATTGTTTTCTGTTATAAATACCATAGTCAGAGGCTGGAATTTAGCTCAGTTTGTAGCACTTGGCAAATTAATGTGAATAAAATGAATCCTAAAATGGCATGGTTCTGTTTTGTATTTGTTTTGAAAATTTAATTCATTTTATTAAGACTGATTGATGTCTATAGTCATCTTTCAAGTTACTGCTAGATGGCACTAGTGTGTAAAGCTGTGCTCTGTTCGGGTGTTTGCTTATGTGTTTGATTATTAAAAAATACAATCTGACATTTTCCAAATTTAAAAATCATACCCCCAGCTGCTCATTGTGAAAATTGAAGGAGCGCCTGCAAGCTAATGAACAGTTTCAAGAAGTGCTAGTTGTGAAGAGGACTGTGTTTAATAATTTATTTTGACAGTTCTGCTGGAGCAAAACATCTTTAACTTGTGCCACATATAAAATTTTAACAAACTTCAATTACTACAGTAGCTCTTTTCTAAAGGATTGCCTCAGCCTTATTTCTTTGTATTGTACATAACATAGAAAGCTGGGTTATCACTTTAATATCATTCCATAGTAACAGTGCTTAACCTTGGATAGTAAAGATACATTTTGGAATGGCTAGAAATGTAGTATTTCTTTGTATCTTGACAAAATAATAAATGAGCCCTGAGTTGCAGCAGATAGTTAAGTATGTATGTAATATAGCATAATACAAGTGTTTGCTTGAGTTACATTCCAGAGTTTAAATTTTGGCAGACCTGTACATCTGTCTGTGAAGAGAAAATATTCCAGTAATTCTTGCAACAACAAATATATCTCAGTAGATGGAGTTTAAAATCAAATACAAGTCTAATGGGTCCCTATTGATTTTTAGACTGGGACAAAGTTCAAAGCAGTATAGTCTAATGAATACAGCACTGTACTAAGAATCAGGAAACCTGGTTTCTATTCCTATCTTTGTCACTAACTTCATATGTGGCCCCGAGCAAGTTATTTCACTTCTATATACCTCCTGTTACAGGAATTCAGACTAGAATAATTACAGTGGCCTTTCCTGACCTTTTGTGAAATGATTAAAAACACCAGTATTCTTGCCTTGCCACTTCTAATATATATTTAGAGCTTTGTGAACAGGACCATTCCAAATGATAGTTTGTTTGCTGACAGTATTTTAATTATAGTTTCAGTCCAGCCCTCTAAAACAATAAGTGAATGTTCCAATATTGTTGTTTGTTCATTTCTCATAGAACATGGACACTATGTGGCACGCCAGAATACCTTGCACCAGAGGTAATACAGAGTAAAGGCCATGGAAGAGCAGTGGACTGGTGGGCTCTAGGAATTCTGATATTTGAGATGCTGTCAGGGTAAGTGTTTCTTTGGTGATACCAAATACACAACATTCACTATTTCAGTATGCTTTGAATAACAAGTTTAAAATATCTTGGGTATATGTTCAGTCTATTACTAATTAGATTATTATTATTATTATTATTTACTGTAAAGGGAAAAAATAGCCTTTTCAGACAGACTGAAAAGGTGAACCTAATTAGAAAGCAAAATAATTTAGCCATAAACTACCTAGTAACCTGATTGGAGATTCTTTGGCAAAAGCCCAGTTTATATTTTCGAAAAAAAACATTGCTCAGAATTCTGCAGTGATAGATTCTTCCACGATGGAGTTCAGTTTCAACTACTAAAAAGTATTGAATAATCAATTATAACTTTCTCACATGTTGAGCATCCTTCAAATTAGGAGTGTAACTTATCTGTTAGGCAACTCTCTTAAGACAAGTAAGCAAGCTTCACAAAGGTAATTCACCTAATTTGCGGTTCAAGAATTACAAAATATCTTCAAACACTCTTTTTTTAGTTGAAAAAGATTTTGAAAAAAGGGGTATTTTTTTAAACTTTCATTATTTCTCTAGCTTCTCTAACATCTCAACTGGAGGCTTACATATTTTACAAGTTTAGATTTTCTGTGTGGACTATTTGTGCTGAAGAAAGTTATTAGTTTGCTCTAAAGCACCTAGTATAACTTTGAGACTGAGAAAATTTTTTTAACTGTTAAAACAAAAATCTCTCATCTTACTGTGGTTTGAAAATGACAATTGGAAAACAGGTTCTGCATTAGTTCATTTTGTGCATTCTATTATGGTGCTTTATTTCTATGCATGAAATGTTTATTAGCACAGTAAACTCAAAAAAAGTGCAATGGAAGAATGGTGGGGTAAGGTAAAACCTATCTGGGCTTATTTTCTGGAGTTCATATACTTATAAACTTTATTTCCAGCAGTATTTTGGAATTCACTAGATGGCAGTGTTCTCAGAAGACAAACTTAACATTTTTGCCACTTGAGAAAGATTTCATTGACATTACAAATACATTAATTTAGGTATTTGAGTTAAATATTAAGTGGAAAGATTGAAACTCTTATATAGTTGGGTTTTTAATCAATGTAATTTTTAAAAGAATAAAAAGGAAAAGTAATATAGCTCTTGCTGTTTCAACTTCTTGATTATACTGCAAGTAAAAACTCACTTGACTGTTTATTTCTACATTATATGTAAAGTCTGCAAAAAGTTTTTAAAAATTATGTCTGTCTTTGTATGTACATTGACTGTATGGATGTTGAAATTTTATTGGGGAAAATAAAGTGGAATTGTATTGCTAGTACTGCCACACAGAAGTACAAAAAGGTATCTCTCTGGGCTGCATTTGTGTCTTGTGCCTTTTTATGCTCCTGTACAAGGGTATGAAGCACAGAATGGCTGTAACCCCCCCCCCCTCTCTCTCTCTCTCTCTCATGTTTACTGCCTGCAGGAGCAAGACAGAACCCAGTGAGCGTCAGACCTATTGCTCCCTTCTGAGACTTTAAATATATGCTTTTTCAATCTTTTTTGGTGACAAAAGCTTATCTGATATTTTCATTCCTCCTCCAGCCCCACCTGTCCCTCCCAAAATATTAAAGAAAATCCAAAACTAAGACGTTGGTGTTGGACCCTCTTGAACACAACCTGGTGTACCAGGGTGAGGCATTTCACACCAACTGCTGTGCTTTTATGGTTGGATCTGACTGAAACTTTGGGGTTCAAACCCTGCTAATCTTGCAGTGGGTTGATTGTCCCCATCAAGATCAGACAGGAAATGTCCCTTCTACTTAAGAGCCTCATCCCAGACAGGTGCTAGCATCAGCCAGGCTGATATCCTATAACATGTCACCTAAGACATTGAGACAGACAGTTGTTTGCTACTTATGAATGGCTGCTGTGGAGATTTATCCTATAGCCAATTTATACCAGTATTGTGGGACTATGGTGATAGATTTGTTCAGAAGCATCATTCATGAGGAGGTGTGAGTCTAGGATCATTGCTGAATGTCTACCATCTAGTCCCAAGGTCTCTTATGTGTCTTTCCACTGATTTCCCTAGGGTGACTTCCAACTTCAAAAGAGACAGTGCTTCAACTATTTTTCATGGCACCATAGTGGCCTAAGAAGCTTGAGATGACAGACTTGCTAGAGGGATTGCACAGTTTACCACCTATGTAGATTGACCTATACACCCAGTCAGATCCCACCCTCCATTATAGTCACTGCCCTGACACCTCTCCCCTTTCCAAGGTGATTGAGGACCTGGCTGGCATGAGTTGAGGAGGCTGGGGGGAGGGAGGT